CAACAGACATTTTATTAAAAACTTCAAGAGATTTCAGTTAACATTCCATTGGCAGCTAAAGCCATAATAACTAAAGTCCAATAACGTAAATGTTGGATACAAATCCATACTTTATCACTGTACCATGTAATTGCTTAAACCCCACCATAACCACAACAAATCTTCAAGACCACCGGAAACAAGAAAAATTCCAACCCCACAAACCGCACCTGCCTAAAACACTCAAAAAGCCCATTACTCAAATAAACATTAATGATAGCGTTCCACGAATACAAATTTCTTTCACGAACAGTTGGACTGCGTCATCAAAACAACCACATTTCCCGTACATCTGAAGCAACTTAGTCTCAACAAACTCGTGTCCATGAAATCCAATTTTGAGTGCTTGTGCGTGGACTTGGTTACCCAGGTTGGGGCATTTGCAGGAATCAAAGAACTGAAGCATAGGTGCTTCAACTTACGAAGTCATCCAATTTGAGAGAAATATAGGTGGGTTAAACCATAAATGAGTCGGGTTTAAATTGGTTAATTTAAGTAAATGAGGTTATTTTTTGTTGATTTAGGATTTTTCACTCAATTGATGATATATGTGACAAGTTTGTAGATGGCAGGGCTAAAAATAACTTTATTTTAACGGCAAAAGTATATTTAACTAATAAAATAATATCGATGAATATTTTTAACTCTTTTTACTAAAAAAAATAACTTAAAATAAGTTAAAAATTAAAAATAGGTCTCCACCTACTTATTGACTTGAAAATCATTTCAGCTTGTTTTTTTTTATTTTTATTGAAAATTACGTAGTTTAAGTAAATCGAAACGAGCTCTTAGAATATTTTTTTGTCTCAATTCTCTCTTTCACTATGCTAATTCAATATTTTCTCACAGTTCCCTTCTTTCTTTATCTATCCACGGAGAAAGAGACATCACTATTGATAGAGGATGATGTTAGGTACGTAGCAAGAATTGATGGGAAATAGAGGGAATGAGAGGAATTTGAAAAGTTTAGAATTTGAAAGGTTGGAAACTTGAAAAGTATGCTTTATTGAAAAAGGCAATAGTCCCTCATCGGTAATGAAAATGAAAATAGGAGAGTTTAAATAAATAAACACTCCTATTAATTGTTAAAAGGGTTGGAAAGAGGGACCCCCTCGCGCCGTCGTCGTCGCTCGCTTATGATTGATCGAGAGATAATTTTTTGGACAAAATTTATTTTAATTATTTATTAATTAATTTAAATGGCCAAAAATTATTTAGTTGATAACAGAATTTAACCGAAATGTTTTCAACTTTTTAGTTAACCCGACCCGACTCGGATCCGCGCGAGTGACCCGTTTTAAATTCCGTTATATTCAAAATTTACAGTCAATACCATTTGAAAGTTTGCAACCTTTCATTAATGGTCGTGTCAATTCTGAAAGGGTAGCAACCTTTCAGAATATATTATTCTTGCCTATAAATACCATTCAGTCTTCAAAATATTTCCTAACGAATTTTCTGATCTTCCTTCTTAAAAACATATATTTCTTCGTGTACTTTCCTGCTGTGGATTGATTCGCTGACAGTAGAGTTTTTGGTATCCATACTCTACTGATTAAGATCATTTTACCCTGGGAGGTTATATTCCAAATCAAACCTCGGATACTAGAGGGGAATAATTTCCTTAAGGGGACACTGTGAATTCAGTGGACTTGATTTTTTTCCTAAAAAGAGAAATAAAAGAGTATTCAACATTCTGGTAAGTTTTACAGATTAAATTATTTTTTACAAATAAATTTCTGTTCATCTTATTTACTGAATCTAAAATCTCAGTTACTTCGTGTTTCTGAATGATTTATTACAACCAGTAGTCTCTGATTTTCTTAACACAGATTGGCAACAAATGAATCTTCTTCTTTTCTTTTTTTTATGAATAATAATATAGGTAAATGAGTGCCCCAAAGGTACGTGGTTACAAGAATAAAGAGTTGGTGATTACATATATTACGAACAATTAATGATTATATTCTTAATAATTGATAAGAGTAAAGAGATACAAATACAATATCCATCAATAAACACAACATAATATATAATATTAACATATAATATATGTTTATTAATATTAAAATATCACACTAACATTGTTTATACTCGCAACATATATATTCGTTATTAATTTGCTGTTTTTAATTCTACTTTTCAATATGAGAACGAGAAGAGCAATGGTTACTAAATAAAGTAAAATCAAGTGTTACTAGGACATGGACAGCTACGTATTCTTGTAAGCATCACATGGATAAACATTAGGACTTTATAATCTTCTTTCTGTTCAAATCGCAATCGAGCAAAAAAAAGCTAATTTCTTAGTTAAAACAAAGGGAATATATACGTGGTAGTGAAAAGCCATTTGTGGCCTGCATTTATTTGCTGACTCAATTCCACATGTAAAGTACTAATGGATTTTGCTATTTATATCTAATAATTGTCTTCTATTGAATTAAAATAATTAAAATCACCTTTCGAGATTCTGATTTATATATTTTTAGCATATATACTACACAAACAAGTTGCACAAGGGGGGAGGGTCCAACCTAACTTTATTAATAGTTACTAGAATATTATTACTTTCTTGCTTTTCCATTAGTTTAATATTAAAATTTGTGGTTAGGAGAGTGATTGGTGGGCACTTTTAATTTTTCTAATGTTCATTAAATAGTTAATGTTTTTCCTTTGTGGAAACAAAAGTGCAATGGTTGAAAAGGAAAGATGGACCACATAAACATATTTCTTATTTTATACTATAGTATTAATTGATAGCTAACCTGCCAGCATAAGAATGATTTTATTGATTTGGATATAATGTCGATGTCCTACCTAAGAAATTAGTAATTTTAGTTGATCATTTCATATCAATGGATTGATAAAGATAGGGCATAACTAAGAATTTATGGCATTGTGTATAAGTTATATTTGGGTTATAATAGTGAATTTATTTAGTGAATACAGTTTTATTCACAAATGTTAGTTCATTGGCTTAAAGATGAATATATGAGGTATAATATATAAAATATGATTAAGTGGTAATTAATTAACGATAATAATTTGTTAAACAATCTGTATTTATAAGGTTAACCAATAAACAGAAACAGAAATAAGACGAAGCAGAAAAAATATAAAATAATTCGAGTCCACAAAAATTAATGTATCTCCTTAAGAAATTTAATCCCCTCATTATACTTGAGGTTATGGATTAATTTCTCTCAAGATAAAACAAATTAATCCTGTTTAAAAAATAGCGGTACCTCAAACAACGAACTTCAGAACAGGAACAAGTCACACAGACTCAGTCGATCGACGCTTTGATTTATTTGAGAGAAAAATATATGCAGAGAAGGAAAAAATTTCAGTGTTTGAAAAATCAAAAATTGACTTTACCCATTGTTGATAAAAATAACAACTTTTCAGAAAAATGTGTCTGTTAAAAAATAACGGCATTTATTTGATTTAACAAAAACTATCCGAAGCTGAAGCCATCGACGGCGTGAGGGGACATCTTCTTCTTAGCTCTTTAAGAAGTAATGAAAATGTTTCCTTATATAAGGACAACGATTTTCCATTCTTTTGCTGATATGAGAGAAATGACTTTTCATTTGCACTTTGCAAATGACTTGTCATTTTTCCTCCAAAATAGTTTCCTCACTTTTCATATTCTCTCTTTTCTTTTCCTATTCACTTGCTAAACCCAACATAATTTAATTAATATAATATATATTTGTAAGACAACGACTAGTGACAATTTCATTCTAACATTTTCTGAAATTAACTGTTTACTAATTTTGGATCAATTTTTGTACTAAATAATTTTTTTTTTAAAAAAAGTAGACCCTCACAACTAGTAGGAAATGAAATTGGACAAGATGATAAATATAATTATTCAATTCAGACTTGTATTTTTTGAGTATCATTTATGCATTATCCAGAAGAGCAATTTCTTCACAATAATTGATTTTTGTCAATTGACAAGTACTCTTATGGAATTCAAGCCAACTTGGCAAGTTGTTGGGCAAAAGCTTCACTACCATTCAAAGGACACCTGATAAGCCAAGTATCAAACAAAAGACCAAAACAACCTATCACAGTAAGGGATTATTTGGTATAAGCAATATAATATATTCGGAACTTGGTTAGAACGTAAGTCATTCATGCGTGTTGATTTACAATTTAGAAACTCGCATAAAGAATACATATATGAAATAACGAAAAAAAATTTATGTTATAATTTTATATTAAAAAAAATGATATATGAATAATTAATCCCTATATAAGATAATATATCAGTTCCTCGTAACAAATTCATAGATTTGTAATACTTGCATAACTCTAATCAACTATCAAACAGTCCCTACAAAGTTGTTTGATTACTAGTTAAAATTATATATTCCTTCCTTTCATTTATGTGTCTCCTATTTTAAAAATAACTATTTCGTTTAGCTTGTTCACTTAAACAAATTAAGAGAGTTTTATTAATTTTTCTCATACTATCCTTCGTATCGAATGAGTGAAACTAATCAAATCCAAAAACTAAAATCTATCATTACTAATGTTAGTTTAATAAAATATACTTCTAATCAGAATTTTTTTGAAAACAAGGATTAAGTAATATAGAATAAAGAAAGTAAACTTTGATAATATCAAAATTAATTATATATAAATTTGATATAAAATTTAAATCCTTTTCATTTTATTGAAAATTTGTGAAGTTAGTATTGAGAATAAAATTGTGTTTCATTATATTAGTAATGCTACGTTTCATGAAAATGTTGTATAGTTTATGCTAGATTTTATATGATGGAGCATTATTTCATTTTCAAAAAAGTATAATAAAATTATGCTAAATTTTAATACGTAAATAACGATAAACAAACTTTGAAATAGTTGTGGATAAGAATTACTTTTTCTCTCTCCTTGTCCTCGTCATACCAACAGTCAAAAAGCCCTTTTTTCTAGAAAACATCAAAATCCACAATTTCTTTTCTTGTTCCACCAGATACAGACATATAGAGAGAGACTCTCCTTCACCATTTTTTTTCCATTTCTCTATTTTTTCTGATATGGGTGCTAATGTATCTTCAATTGACACAAATTGTGATGATGGGTTGAATTATTTGCCATTTAAGCCTAAGCTTGATGATATACCAGAGGCTTGTGTTGCTCTTCTGCTTTCATACCTTGATCCACCTGAGATCTGCAAATTATCGCGTATTAATAGGCTATTTCGTGCTGCTTCATCTGCTGATTTTATATGGGAACCCAAATTGCCCTCTAATTATAACTATATTCTTCAAAAATTGCTTGCCCTCAATGTTGATGATGCCCTCTGTAAAAAGGACATTTTTGCTAAGCTTTCTTCTCCCAGGTCCTTTGATGGTGACACAAAGGTCTGTCTCTTCTCTTCTTCTTCTTTTTTTTTTAACATTTTATATTACCTCTTCCCCTGCCAAGTTTGAGATTTGATAATTTGGGGGATTTTTTTTTTAAATTTTGGTTACAGCAAGTATGGATTGACAAGAAGAATGGAGGGGTTTGTTTGGCAATTTCATCCAAAGGAATGTCAATTACCGGCATCGATGATCGAAGATACTGGAATCACATTCCGACCGATGAATCAAGGTGAGGTTTTTGTCAACAAACATGGCTCTGCTTATGAGTTATTGACTAGTGTCATATTTCAAAACATGAAGAAGGCCACTAAATTCCATGTGAGATTATTTATAATTCGGATTTAAGTCATATATATACAAACTTTAAATTTACTGATAATTTAACATGTTCTCGCGGATTACTTATCCTTTTTTTAAAATATGATTCAACCCACCAATACTGTAATATTATTGAACTATGAAATGAATCAAACCTTGTTCCTATTTCAAATAGTATCTCCATCCCAATCTGAACTCTGTCTTTGTATCGATACGATGAGATTTTGACGGTTCTAAGAATACAACATCACTTATTAAACTAAGATCAGGATGAATTGGTCAAGTGATGTTGAGCCTGGTGTCTGGTGTTCAAGTTTCTAGTGAGTGAATCCTCGAGATTTCATCGTAATGAGAGCAGCTCCTTCAGGGCATTCACGAAGTTGAGCTGGCCTGATGATCGATCGGGGTGGCCAATTAAAGAGATATCGTAACAAAATCAAATGCCCTATGGAAAAAAAGAAAACAAGGGAGAGCGGTGTTGTCGCGTCTCATTCCTTTCTTATGACATGTGTGGGTGAATCCTCGAATAGGTTGATTCGATTGGTATATGGAATTGTGTGGTTGTATGAAATAAGTAAGCCAAAAGAAAGACTTTTGTATTGTAAATGTTTTGTGATCTGTTTGCTCTTTCCCCTGTCCAGTAATGTAGACTTTTGAAGTTCAATTATGCATCTGATACTCTCATTCTTCATGTAGATTCAAAACTGTAGCTTATCTTCAACAAATCTGGTGGCTTGAAGTCGATGGGGATCTCGAGTTCCAATTCCCAGAAGGGACCTATAGTCTATTCTTCAGACTTCAGCTTGGTAAGGCGACAAAGAGGCACAAACGTCGTGCCTGTAACTATGAGCATGTTCATGGCTGGGACTTAAAACCTGTCCAGTTTCAGTTAACAACAGCGGATGATTGTCGTGTGACATCCCGGTGTTATCTGGACAATTTAGGAACTTGGATGCAGCATCATGTAGGAGATTTTGTTGTTAAGGATGGCACTGTTCCAACAAAAATCAAATATTCATTGACACAGATAGATTGTACACATACAAAAGGTGGTCTGTGTGTTGATTCGGTGTTAATATGCCCTACTAGCTTATCTAAACAATTAACTTGTTGATTGCTTTACAACCATCAGTTTTGTATATACTTCGTTTTCTCCTTAAAATGTCTTCTAGTCGTTTCTATTTAGCATCTAGAGAGATCCAGGTTTTTTGTATCTTAGTCCACGAAATGATAGACAATAGTTGATTTTGAGCTTAGATGATGATACTTTTCTCTTATCAAACGGTAGACAAGTCAAATAAAAAGACTGAATACATGAAAAAAGCTAAAGAGACGCTTTATTTTGATCTTTAATATATTTCACATGATTTATATAGCCTTGATGTATTGCTTTATTTGGTCCTTTGCCCTATAGTAACAAATTCATCTGGTTAAATTTAACGTCAGGTCCACTAAAAAATAAAATATCAAAAGCTACCTTTCTCCTTCATCAGGCATATCTGAAAAGTCTGGCCTAATTCTTCTCCCTTCTCTCTTCTCCGGCGATTATAATGCTCTAGGCCATCGACACATCACTGATCGTCCACCAACCAGCCGTTGCTCTCCACTTCGGTCACTCCTCTACCCATCCTTTGTTTCCACGGCTTATTAGCCCTACTCCATAATTGGAATTTCTAAAAAAATTATATTTATATTTAAGTTAGAAAATTAGTTTTGAATTTTTATATTGTTATTGATATCAATGTCTCTAGTGAGAGTCAATTGTATAATTTTTTTTAACAGACTGTGTCCCTGTGTTTGAGGCAACATTTTTCAGCTTTAAAATTTGTCTTAAGGGATACACTACTAAAAGAACTGTAAAAAAAGCGACGGACGACGCAAATTGCCACAGGCGCTTATAAATTAAAAAAATATTTTAAAAAATTTTGTTAGGAAAAACAACGGATGACATCTCCTAATCCTTCGCTTTTTTACGAATTTTTTTGTCATATATATATAAATATTTTATATTAATAGCATGCAGTCCATTGCTTTTTATTTAAATAATTATTTATAAATAAAGAACTAACAACACCATCCGCTTCTAGTTAATCATTATTATTAAAAAAAATAGCGACAGAAGGCATCTCTGAATCTGTTGCTTTTTTGTTAAATAACTTGTCAAACATAAGTTACGGACAATGTCTCTTAGTTCATCGCTTTTTGATCAAATTATTTTTAAAAAAGCAACTAACAAAGAGATGCTTTCTTGATACAATAAAATTATAAACAAAAGACACAAATATATTTTAGAAATAATCGCCAAATAAAATTAAACGGAAGGAATAATATCGTAATTTCAACGACAAAAGACAATAGACTAATTTTGCACGTAATCGCGTTTGGACGGACTCGTTTTATGTCTAAACTCCTTTTTCTCCTCCACAGTTCTCTCAATCAGCAGCTGCAATGATGATCTCTCTGTCTCTAATAATTTTGCTTTCAGAGATGTCCCGCGGGGTTCACTTGGCTGTTGGCTTAGCAAGCACTTGCCCGCTGCTCCCGCCGCCCGATACTTTTGCTTAGTTTATTGAAATTCTTCATCTTTTTGTTTGATTTTTCTGTTCTAATACACGGTTAATTCTAATGGTTTTGCTTTATGTAATTGTAGGCAACAGAAACTGTGAACCCAAAAGCATATCCGCTTGCTGATTCACAGCTTACAACGACCCTAATGGATTTGGTTCAACAAGCTGCTAATTATAAGCAGAATAAAAAGGATGCTAATGAAGGTTTATTCACTTTTTTAACACTTTATATTTAGTCACGCTGTTAATCATTTTTTTTATATCCAAAGATTAAGAAAACTGAGTTAGTTTTGTGGTGGTGGTGGGGACTAAGCTATAAAGACTGTTAACTTGTATTGTTTTGGAACTTTATTATATGGTGTTTTGGTGAATAAGTTACTTCTATGTTGTCGATTTTTTTCCACTTTATAAATTGGTAATGTCTGTGTTGCTCCTCATGTACTGAAAGAGAAAACTGTTGATAGAACATATGCGTTCACTTAACGAGTAATGCACCAGGTCCTTTACTTTACTTCAGGAAAATTACCAGAAAGTTAAATGCAGTAAAATCAACACAATGATTTTACGTGGAAACCTCCTTGCTTGAGGGAGTAAAACCACGACCTGTCTCACAGGATTTTCAATCGTTTTCACTAATCTTCAAAAGCAAAAGCGAAACACGATTACACCAAACGTAAGAAAGAGTTATCAATCTTACCGTTAAGCAATAGACCTCTATTGCTCAACAAGCCAAAGTAGAAAAACAATCTACCCACTAAGCTATCCCACCTGGACAACCTAGACTTTTAACACAACACATCAATTTCCTTTATAGATTTAGGAGTGGTTTACAATTTAAAGAACAAGAGAATAAATCCCTAAACAACTAGACGAAAATCTCCAGATGTTGCTGTTGTCCTAGGAATGATTCTGCCTTTGCTTTGTGTTAGCCTTTGCAAAAGTTCTTGAAAAGTGTTTATCAAGTTGCAAAAACTGAAGAAAAGTGTTTAGGAAAGTGCCTTTTATATGGGCAAGTCACTTTCCTAAACTTCTTTGCCATTGGTTGGAAGGGTCACACTTTCTGACGCCATCGGGAAGTGTGCACCTACTTTCTGCACCATCTCCAGCTGGCAGTTGACTGACTCATCATCATGAGAGCCTGGTACCTCTATTAGGTCCCTGAGTTTTGTTTCATCTGCAATACTTCGAACAATACACCTGCAGTACTCAAGTAGAAAACCCGGTACCTTTATGAGGTCCCTAAATTTGTCAAATCATCAAAACTACAAATAACAACTGTGTTGTTGTTCTGTTTCAGCTACGAAGACACTAAACAGAGGAGTTTCGGAATTCGTTGTCATGACCGCAGATACCGAGCCCCTTGAAATCCTTCTTCATATTTTGCCTTTGAATGGCTCCAATAGAGGTAATGAATGCTGAGGAATTCTGGTTATTGACATTTTCAAGAATCTTTTGTGTATATTGTGAGGTTATATTGTTCTGATTTCAGACTCTTAAGGAAAATGGAAACCATGTGTATATTATTTCTGATGTAATATTTCTATACTCTGATGTAGTAAGATTTGCTATCTTTTTTTAATTTTGCTATTTATCTATGTTATTAGTGACATAGACATAATTTTCTTCCTTTTATAAATAGAATATTCTTGCTCATTCGTAGAATACACCAAGTTAAAGAAAAAAAAAATATTTTGAAAGCAAAGTGAGATATTCCACAGGGTATACAAGAAAACAGTTTGTGAAAAAAAATAGAGTGTAAGTAATATTTTAGTAAGGTGAAAACCAAACGAATATTGTATAGTACTCACTTTGATTATTGTATTTGTGATACACATTGTAAAATTCTTTATTATAGTGGTATCAATTACTCCTCTTATCCCGTGGTTTTTCCCTTATCTAGAAGAGTTTCCACGTAAAATTCTTGATATTATTATTTTCCATTTTATTTTCATTACTTTTATCAAATATATATTTGTATCTATCCGTGTTTTCATAACACCAATGTCTTGGACATTTTCTATCAATTTCATTGCATAATGTCAAAAGTTACCAGTTTTCAATAGTCATGTTTCTTGGTTCTGACTCAAAGAGTAGGTAGACGCTGCAGTTTAACAGATTTGTGTTTACTGCAGGTAGAATTTTAACGTTTTCAGGTGTTCTTTTAAGATAAGAGCAACAGAATGAAAGGGACTAGTTTAGTAAGAAAAGTACACTTTAACCGATTAAATAAATAATATTATTCAATTTCACTTACTTTTCCCATTATAACATTTTATTTACATCTAACATGGTGCCCGTTTTATAAAATTATTGTGTGACATATCATTGTGAATGTTACTATATTTCGGTTGCAGATGCTTAATCTCATTGTTTTAATAAATATAATGTTTCAGCTATTATATATTGTCACGTATCATTTTAAAGTATTAAATCAACAAGAAAAGCAGAGTTATACGTGATTACATAAATTTACTATATAAAAGGTAATATAAAAAATAAAATAATTATATAATGAGATGAGTATGGAAAATATTTTTAAATTTCCAGTAAATTATTACTTTTATTTATAAATTATGGATAATATTAAAAACAATCCTTTATATTGATTAATTAAATTTAAATACAATCCGATTTTGAAATATGAATGACATGTTGGGTATGTAGTAAGAATTGATGGAAAATATAGGGATCCTCTAATGCTTTAATGAAAAAAAGGCAATTATCCATCATCGGTAATTGAAAGAAAAATAGGAGAGTTTAAATACAACAGTCCTAGTAATTGTTAAAAGGGTTGGAAAGAGGGACCCCTCGCGTCGTCGTCGCTCGTTTCGGCTTCGGCTTTGGCAAATGATCGAGAGATTATTTTTTGGACAAAATTTATGCGCTTTGGCTTCGGCTGATCGATCGAGAGATTGTTTTTGGACAAAATTTATTTTATCTATCTATTTAATTAATTAAATGGCCAAAAATTATTTCAATTAATTAGTTGATAACAGAAGTTAACCGAAATGTTTTCAACTTTTTAGTTAACCCGACTCAGATCCGCGCGCGTGACTCGTTTAATTTTTGTTATATTTAAAATTCCCGCCATGACTGTTCTGAAAGGTTGCTATTTTCAGGAACAGTCAATACCATTTGAAAGTTTGCAACCTTTCATTAATGGTCGTGTCAATTCTGAAAGGGTTGCAACCTTTTAGAATATATTCTTCTTGCCTATAAGTACCACTCAGTCTTCAGAATATTTTCCTACAAATTTTCTGATCTTCTTCCTTCTTCTTCTAAACACATATTTCTTCGTGTACTTTCCTGTTGTGGATTGATTCGCTGACAGTAGAGTTTTTGGTATCTACACTCTACTGATTAAGATAATTTTACCCTGGGAGGTTATATTCCAAATCAAATCTCGAATATTAGAAGAGACACTGTGAATTCGGTGGACTTGATTTTCTTCCAAACTAAAAAAGATTAATTCAGATTCTGGTAAGTTTTTACAGATTCAAGTATTTTTTAGAAATAAATTTTTGTTCATCTTACTTACTGGTTCTTTAAATTTCAGTTACTTCGTGTTTCTGAAAAAATTTATTACAACCAATAATTTTTGGTATTGATAACACAGATTGGCAAACATGACATACACCACTAAACTATCACTAAGTTCAACATTTCTCTCAGTTTGTTATTTAGAGTCCTATGT